TGCTGACTCACAGCAATTTGCACAAAAAACGCAGGGAACCACATTATTGAAATCTCTCTATCACCTGTTTTCTCCAAGTCTGAGACAGTCCTGAGTATCCCAGAAGAGAGAAATGGTGGCTCTTTGGCAGTGCTGATAAACTCTCCTTGTGCCTCATCCAGCTACATCTATGCCATGTTATTAGTTAAACCCAGAAGCTGTAACATGTACCCTGAAGAGGTTCATCTCATAAATATTTTGTTTCTTGCTATATGTGTTCTCCAGGACCATGGAAATTTACAGCATTTCCCTTCTCACCCTCCCATAACTGTAGTTATATTGATTTTTCTATATAAAATCACAGTATCACAGGAGGCTTTTCCATGTGTCAAACGAAGTAAATCTTCTTGCACCAAATAATAAAAATTATGAGTGTGCGTGGGCACTGATTCTCTGAATATGGTTTCCTGCCGATTTCTTCATCTTCCAGTGAGTTCTTTCTTAGGGAGAAGATAACTCAGTGTAGTTCATCTTGTAGGTGCCTAAAGGTCCTGGATTTCAGCGAGTTAACATATCTCTGGTAATGTAAAAAACATAGTGGACAACCAGGAAAAAAAATTAATAGGAAGGAATTTCCCTGAAGATTTTGACCTTCCCGTAGAGCGTGCAGTGCAAAGCTGTGCCAACCTCGTGCCCTGGTTCAAGAAAATAACTCATGGGATTGACTCATTGTCAATCCGTTATGGTTAAACCCCTTACATTCATAAGGGACACACACTCATGAAACACTTCTGATAGAAATATGCTTTCCTTCCATAACCCGTCCTGTCTGAGAATGTATGTTTTTATTTCATTAACATTGATTGTGTGGTTTGCTACTACAAAACTTTGTTGCTAGGTTCAGAGCAAAAGTACCACGGTCACATTTGCTGGGGGAAACTATTGTTTATTTCTTTTACTTTCACTTTGAGGAAACTTTTTCCAAAAGGTCTGCTGGGTTGTGAGGGAATCTCTAAGAGAAAGCTTGGATGTACAACAGACATTGAGAGCTCACACGCCCCAACGAGACCCCTCCAATCTCTTGGAAGAGGAAGAATTAAGACTTTGCGAAAGTCATCTTATTAAAAGCAGCCTGAGAAAAATACCCTTAAAAATACTGCAGGTCTCTGTGCTGAGCTGAGTGATAGAAAGCCTTTCCTGGCCTAGGAGGGCCTTCCTCTTTCTGATGCTGTGCTGAGCTGAGTGATAGAAAGCCTTCCTGGCCTAGGAGGGCCTTCCTCTTTCTGATGGAACCAGTTTTAGTTTAGAGCAGACTATCATGATCCCCTCCAATTCTCTCTGAGCTCTTATTATTCCTACAGTCCTCAGATCTGGATTTTTACTTTATCCATTTCAGCTTCCTTCCCTAGCTCCTCTGAGGAAAAAAGACTGAAACATTGCTATAATATCCATCTCAGAAATATTTACCAGCAACATTCATCACTTATTTATCTACTTAATACAGTCACAAGCATAGTTTTACATAGGTTTGCAGAGAAGGACAGAAAGTCACATGGAACAGGAGGCAGAGGTTTTATCAAGGAAGGAGAAAAGAAAAAAAACAGTTCTGGGGGCTCTACTGAATTTCTCAGTCCGGTTTTATCGTACTAAGAAAGGTAAAGCTGCTGCTGCACCGTAGCATTCAGTGCCTGCCTTGTTGAGCTCTGCATTAGGCTTTGCTGCCTATGCACCCTGCAGAATTTGGTCCAAAGAGGCATTTGGAGGAAAATCAGTGGGTGAATTCTTGCTGTGGAAGGATGTCCTTTGGGGGGTCCTTCCTGCAAAAGGAGGAAGCACTTTCATCATTCAGGACATTTCAGAAGTGCTTTTGAATTCTCTGTTTTTCTTTTTGCTGGGCAGGGCTCTTAATTGAAGGAGAGGACATGTATGCCCCAGGGCAGGGAGAAGCCCCTTAGCTGACTGCACTTGACTTTGCAATCCTGAAAGAAACTGGGTGGCTTTTTATATTAACATCAATGGTTACAGGACCCAGACTTGTATACAGAATTAAAGAAGACAACAATCCCTTCCCCAGTCAGAGGAGGACTTTTTTTGCTGTTTAGATATTGAATTTGTATGGAGAAAATTTTATTACCTAAGCTTGTCAGAGCTTGGAGTAAAAAAATATATCTGTGTGATCAGGTAAAGTGAAAAAAAAAAAAAGTGCTATTGCTGTTAATCCTGCGAATGCCTTTTTATCAGTTCAGGGGAAAAAATGCCAGTTATAAAAGACATAAAGATTTTATAATGTTTTTTTCTCCTGGTAATATCACAGAACTCCAGGTTCATTTCAAATCTGTATTCAGCCTGCGGTAGCTCTTTCTCAGAGAAAAGGGCACATTTGTTTATTGTTTTACACAGCAGCAAACCTGAGTGACGTTAGAAATGACGGTAGTTTCTCTAGCCTTGGGAACCTGAGCTTTTCTGACAGCAGACATCTCTCATCATGGACTAGAACCAAAACCAGCTGGGGACAGGGATGAAGCCACAGGTATTTGTTCTCCATGCAGGGGCTGAGGCTCACAGCCAGAGGGCAATAGTGCTTCAGGAATAGGGGAGTGGAACCGTGCAAAGCCCTCGGCAACTCTGTCCTAGCAACAGCCTAGAAACGAGATTGTCCTTCTTCATTTAATTGATTTGGGTAAATGGATGACACCGTTACTCGTGTGTTATTAAAGCATTAATTTACTCGGTTTCCTTTCATTGCGTTCCTTCCTGCCGTTTGAGCATTATTGCGGCCATATCTCTTCAGAAGAAACACCTTCTAGACGCAGATGGAAATCTTTGGTGGCGTTCATCCTTCAGCTACCTGTCTCCCAGATCCTTTAATAGAAACTTTGAGTTAAGTGTCTCGCTGTCAGTCCTCTCTCTGAACCCACTGTCATTAATACTGAGGTATTCCTGTCGGTATTCCCATATCTCACACCTTTGTGGGAAGGATGAGCCTCCTGATGCTGGTGCTAGGGACTTTGGATAGCCAGTGATGCCCAAAGGAGCCTTACTGCAACTGAGAACCGGGCCTATTTATTTCACTGATCGTATCAGCAAGGATCTGGCTAGCTCTTTTTTTATTGCCTGGCACTTAAATTACAGACCTGCCTGCTAGGTTTAGTTCTTAGTTCTTGCTAAAACATCAGAGTCGTGCATCATGAGAAGCTGTCCTGGCAAACTGTGGGGAGGCAGAAGGCAGATACTGGATGTGATTAGACTCTCTTGGCTTTGTGGGTTACTGCTCATCAGTTCAGACAATCATGCGGGTGCCAGTTCCCATATATTTGTGTCCTTAGGTTAACTAACTTTGCTTTATTATTGAGGTAGGTTTGTTTAGCTAATGAATAATAATTTTGAATAGATTTGTAGTTGACTTTCAGTGCTTGTGAAAAATGCAGGTTCACTATGCAAAGTCTACAGTGCATCTCTACATCTTTAGGGGCCTAGGTATCTACCAGGCATGAATTTACTGGGAAGATTCCAGGGATTTTAGGTTCCCTATTAACATAAGCTGGTATACCTTGACTCTGAATACTGTGATGCAATTATAATCACATCTCCATAGATCCATAATTCAAACTGTAGCTGAATCCATCCTTCTTTGAGATAAATCCCATGTCAGATCCTGTAGAACTGGGAAGCAAGCACAGCTCCTCTTTAATACAAATCTACACTTGCATCATAGTTCAATATTAAACAATGGTATTAAGTGAATAAAAAAGTGGTAAGACTTTTCCATGGCTGTGGCCACAGGGGGTTTTTTTTGCCACAGTTATTTTTTTGGCTTTTGGAAACGGCAGAACAAAGGTGACTATAATCACAGATACCACAATTCCACTGCATTTAATGTCGGAAAAGTTTGCAAAGCACAGCACACAAGACCACAAGTAGCATTTTCAGTTTCTGGCATAGTTGACCTAAAGGTGAAGCTGTTAGCGTTAAGGAAGTCCTGTGGTTTCATGTTAAGTAATCTCTTGATTTCTAGAAGGTACGAGCATGGCAATCACTCATCTGCCTTTACTGGTTATTTCTATGTCTTAAAACAGCGGGATTTTAATAATTTCACATGGATTTACAGTCCTTCCATGATAGTATGTTTTTCAGGTCTGTATTCAAACTGCAGAATTCCTTAAGGGATTTCTTTTCCTTTGATTATTACCTGTGCTGCAAATAATCTTAGATAAGGGAATTTACCATGAGCTTTGAGCAGGGATACAGAACTTCTGGAATGAATTCATATCTGTCTCTAATTACAGAGAAGGACTTACGATCCTGCTTGACTAAGACAAATAGGATTCCAGTTTAAACCAGTAAAAGTGGCCAGGGTAAAACCATCATCAGTGAGAGCCACAAGACAGGCTGCTTCATACTGATAAAACAGTGCCTGCTGGTAAATGCTCCGCTCTTTTTTGATAGGTACATTATCTATTTCACCTGAGTTCTTTTCAGGCAGGCACAGAATATCATCAATATATGCAAATTCCAATCCCAGTTACCAGGCGATGACTCGGCTAGCTGATTGCAGTGTAAAATGCCTTCCCTGTCCCCAGATTTTGCTATACTGGCTCGTGCTATGGCAATCCAATTGATGCTAATGCTTGTTGATTGCTACACAGCCTGTTGTGCCAAATTGTAGGCAGCAATTTGTTGTCAGAATCAGTGTTCTGCGTGCACCAGCCTGTAGCCAAGGAATTCATTAGATTCCAAGACTGTGGAGGTGAATGGGCGGCTGGTGCATCTGTAGAGAGATATGGAACAGCAATTCATGTTGTTTACTGAGCTGATATTTCTGTAGGGCCTTAATGAGCCAGACGATTTGCAAAAAAGGGGTACTGATCCCCTCTGAGGCAGCTTATACTGTATTATTTTGTTTTGTTTTCACCTAACTGATCACAGAACATTGTGTGTGTACAGTGTTACAGCTTTTTAATTAGTGACACATGATAACTTAGGAATACAGTGCTGCAGAGTGTTGACAAATGAATTACAAAAATACAGGAGTCCCACTTGTATGTAAATATTTGTTTTCTCTAAGCAAATCAGAATGGTGGTGTTACTCATTATAAAGTGTATTCTGCAGCTATAGTGTTCTTATTCCAACTAGGATGATTAGAGAAGCACATGGCAGTGGGAGAATAGGCTGGCTGATGCTTCCAAAGCAATTAAGTAACATTCAGTCACTAGCATCTGAGTAAATAGATTGATGAAAATTCAATCAAAAAACTGAGGAAAAGACTGTTTAGGTCATCTATTTCATTGCTGTTTCCTAGAGTATGTTCTCAATTACTTGTAGATATCCCAAGCACCACAGCTGCCAACATATTCCTTTGGAAGAGTCATGCAGTCTAATAGATGTTTAGGATTTTTCCCAAGTGATATGCAGCTTTAATTTTCTTTTGCTTAATGTCATCTTTTTAATTTCTCCATTTTTAGATTACCTCAAAACACTTTTTTTCTTGATTCAGAAGGAAAAGTTGCAGGAAGGAGTAAAAAGCAGTGACAAAATTCTTCTCAATGTCCCACTTTTGATAACAAGTATAAGAAATTTAACAAAAATAAATTGCAAAATATTCTCTCCTTTTTTTCTTTGTCTCATGTCTTAGAGCAGTACCAGGCTTATTAAAACTGTTTAATAGGGATTCATTAAATTTTTGTTTTAAGCCATCATGCTTTGGTCCAGAAAGAAAAAAGCATTTGAAAAAAGTCTTCATAATGTTAAAAATTCTTCTTGTTGTTAAAATTATTCTACAAATATCACCTGATTGAGGTGAGGCTGCTGCAGCTCCATGTCCCCTGACCCAGGCAGTAGCAAGGTTGAGCTTTTGTTTCCGATGGGCACACATATGCGTGTACACACAGTGCATATGTGCATATGCACATGACTAGCAACACAGGTTAGCGCAAGCAGAAATCACAGCGCCCATAAACACCAGGTGCCTCACCCTGTTCCCCTCTCTGGTTGATCAAGATGAAACCCCATTTGTGGAAAATTTGTGCACTGTAAACACACATGCAATGTTGATCCCACCAGTACCTGGTCTTACACACACAAGGCTGTCCAGTATCTGGCCCCTGGATGCCTTGCCTCCCCAGTTGCCTCATGCATAGACATACACACACATAACAAGTCTCATGAGCAGGTCCAGACCTATACAACTTTATACCAGTTTATACCATATACTTTATACCATTCCCCCAGACTTCTTGATTTCTCCAATAACCAATTCACAGGCTAAGTATCCAGCCCAGACTTATGACCACATCAGCACCTTGCTCCCAAGTCTTTCATCCTACTCACTGGCTTGTCTGGCTTGGTGCTCACTTGCACAGCATGCACATGCTCCAGTCTCTCTGGTTGCTGCCAGTGCAGCCACATGGACGCCTGTGACCCATGCTCTGAGTCCAGTTGCTGAGACTTGGACCACCACATGCACACAGAACAGGAAAACAGAACTGGAGACGGGGGGAGCCCTTCCCGTTGCCGATCTCATAGGTCTCACCCTGGCTGTGGGCCGATGCCTCTTCTGCGACAGCCCTGGGAGGAGCTGGGGCAGGGGCTCCACTGGCTCTGACCAGGTTATTGGGGTTCCTCTGCCTCCTGTTTTTTCTCTCTGCTTCTTTTTGTATATAGAAATGAACGTTTGATCACATAATCTAATGCTGCCCTAATCCTCTTTTCTTAGAATATCAGGCTACTTGATAACACAACATTAAAAAAAGCAAAAAAAGAGCTTTGCGAAGAAGTGCCATTTAAGATCAAGGATCATGTTGGCAGTGGAATATTGGAATGGAATTGGTGGACTCTGTATAGCAGTTCTTAGAAATGGCATCCCATTAAATTCTCTGTCATGGGCTGTGGAGAAAGCTTAGTAAAAGGAATAAGAATGATTTTCCAACCAAACAGTCCTCATTACTCAATGGTTGGAAAGTAAAACCACATGTGAATGGAATACTGACCAAAGAGGGGTGTTTTTTGTTTATTTGTTCCACAATAACAATTTTTGTAGAGTCTTTGTTTACCCGGAATAAAAAAAAAAAACAATTTGAACTGTTGTTTATTTTTAATGGAACCAAAGCAAATTTAGTCATAGCTAAATGGAAATTGGGACAAAAGATTATGGTTTGACTCACTGTTTCTAACACATGATTTTTGGTAGCATTTCCTCTTCCAAACAAAAATAGAATTGAAGATTGCAGCCTTCTTTTCCATTACCAAATACACTGTTAATGCCTTCAGTCGAGAGCTCCCTCAGGGCTGTAAATTTTCCTCTCCAGCTCATGTGGCATAGTTTCCAAATACAATTAACTATTTAGCACTTCAGTTTTCTAAGATATGACTGAGACAGCAGTGATTGAACTTAGCTTAGATCTCTGGCTTTTTACTATATTTGAGTCTAGAGTTGAACCTGAGAAGCACCATTAGACTGTGGAGGGAGAACTCCTCATGAACCACCTGGTCTGGTTCTTCTCGTTTATACTGGAACATATATGTAAGGTAATTCTACCACCCTCCCAAAAAAACCTAAAGCAGGATGAAGAATCTGTTGTTACATGAATAAAAAATCAGAAATCCTAGTAAACAGATTGAGGAAAATCAAAACTTATATCAATAGTAATGAGCATGAGCTGTATTTTTCTTTTGGGTTTTTATGTCACTGTTTCTTTTAATGCCAAAACAGCGATTATGGATATGAACGTCACAGCAATGGGCAGTGTTTACCAGCGTTTTGGTATAATCCATCTTCCCTGTCGAAAGATTGTAGCCTCGGACAGAGTTACCTTAACAGCACTGGGTAAGTGGCACACCAGACTTGATGTAGCTATAGTACCCATATGGGCTTTAACCCAATGGCAACTGCAGATTGCATTTACTATAGGTGTCTCAGAGCTGGCTGAAGCCCTTGGGACCTCTTCCTCACTGAGTTTGTTAGGGTGCACAGTCTGGCACTCCAGTTCTCCATCATGTATGGTCAGACCTTTCCATGAAAAATGGTGCCTTAAAGAAACTTGGAGGGAAAACTGTAAGGCAAAGGCCAAATCATTAAAGTCTCTGAAAAGATTCTTCTTAAAATCACGTGGGATCATCAAGTGAGGCAGAAACAGTGGAAAACAAATCAGAGGAAAGAGATCAAACTGATGTATATGTGAACTGAAGTAATAGATTAGATGGGCAGCTAGCCTGAATGCTGATTATGCTTTGGCCCTCTTGGAAGTCAAGGGAAGATGTAGCTGAAGTTAAGATACTGACCTCAAACTTCATTTCTGATGCAAGTGATTAAAGCAAACAAAGGAACCCAAGCTGTGGTTTGGCATTTTGTACACTCAAAGATAGGCAGAATTTGCTTTTTCCTTCGATTCTTATTTTTGTAGGTTTTGAGGGTTGCATCTTTAGAGAGTTGCCTCACAACTGATGAGAAGTGGAGACCATGTGCAAAAAGCTGTTAAACTATGCCTAACAGTATAATAATTGAATACAATTCCATTACTGTATATGTATATCATTTATTTATAACTTTATAGTTATTTAACATGTAACAGATCATCAGATAAATTCATGTTTTAGGCATTTATTAATGCGCAGTATATAGGTGCGCTGTGCAGGAAGATACTACATGCCATTAACAACAGTATTAACTGCTTGTATGTTAGGCACATGAGAAAAGCTTGACTGAGCCAAATGCTAAAATATGTTTGGGAATCTGTTTTCTTCCAATCTCCTTAGTCTAAAGAAACCTCAAAAATGCCTTCATGTTCCCAGTTAACCCTGTTATGCTCCCTGTCAGCATCTTACATGGGTTTCTCTTTTCCTTTGCAGATACCGGAAAGTTGTTTCTAATAACTGCACGGACGGCGTGAGAGAACGGTACACAGCAAAACCCCAGCAGTGTCCTGGCAAAGCCCCCCAGGGCCTTCGCATCATCACGTCTGATGGCAAACTGACAGCCGAGCAAGGACACAACGTCACTTTCCTGGTGCAGCTGGAAGAGGTAGGCTCTATTTTTATGTTGCATCCCAGGCCCTGTGGGTGTATTTGAGTCTGATTCAGGTCAGACAAAGTTTGTAAGGTGGTGAAGAAGTAAACCAAGGGAGTGTGGGATGAAGTCAGTCAGCTCCACAATGTAGCTGGGGTGGAGTATGCTCAAAAAGGGTAATGGATGATGTATGGAGATGATGTGATGCATAGGGTGATGGCTGGGAGAAGTTGATAAAAACTGGGAATTGGTTTGGTTTGGGAATTTCACAGTAGTACAGGAGAGGGCAGGTTTGAATCCTAATCCCCAGCCTTACCTGTGCTTTTGACTTCTTTCTGTGTTTGAAACTGAATTTCAGTTTTTACTTGCCACTAATTTTCAACCAAACATGGCTAAAGTCGCGCAAGCGGGTACATATTGTTCAGGCGTTTGTGGATGGAATCTCAAGACATCAGCAGCAGCATTAAGTCTGAAACTGATTGCAAATGTGAAGCTGATTCAGACTCTGATCAGAGCCTGTGCTTTTGTTGTATCTGTAACTTAACTTGGTATTTCACTGGTCTGCTCCCTCCATTTCTGAATCCTTAGACAAAAAAGGTTTAAAATCTTTTCAGCTGTTTTTATTCCTCAGCGCTTCTTTATCCGTTTTTAATTGTAGGCTCCCAAATAATAACATTCACAATGTAACTATTTTCTCTTTTTCCCTAATCCAATTTGATTTCTTTAAACTTCTACCCTTTTTCTTGTGTAGCTGGCCAATAAATCCTAAACCAGCTATGCTTTTACACTAGCGCACAATGTACATCCCTTTACAGCTTAGAGCATTCATGGAAATTACTTCTGACTCTCTCCGTAGTAAATGTCAGCTGTAGTGAGGAAAGAGAAATGAGGATGACCTCTGGAGCTGAGTTTGGTAGGGGGTGTGTTGGGGTTTTTACATCTTTATTATTGATGCTTTCCTCAGCAAACAGGTGCCCTGATTTGTAAAGGCAATAACATATAATAAATCATGCCTAACCCGAAACACTTGTTTGACCTGAATGTTCATTTTCTGCACAATATGGTCGCTTTATTTCAGCAGTGACAGTCATACAACATTGCTACTGTAGATAATGGTATAAACATAGAATTTCACCTGGATAAATTATTGATTTCTGTGTTTAAAGATGAAGAATAAAAAGTCCAAAACAAGATACAAAATCTTCAGGCTTTAAAAAAACCCAAAAAACCAAAAAAAAAGGTGGTGTTATATACTCCCAAAAAATTGTTCATCACATCGCCTTTCTAGTCTCAGCAAAGTTTTAAAGCAGGTTGAGAGGAGGAGATGGGTGATCTGAGAAGTCAGTCACAAAACAACAATTATGCCAACAGTCAGAGGGAGAGACGATCACCCGCAGCATGGGGAACTCGGGACAAATGTCCTGCTCCTCCTTCTCTGAGCATTTAAATTCACATATCCTGTAAGAATGCTGTGACCCCTCTGTTAGACAGGGATCTCCTGTGAATCTTTCAGTCTTGTCTGTTGATTCTGATCTTTTTTGATAACCCTGCTTCAGTATTCACCAGAGTCTGAAAACCACACATCCATCCTCCGTTAAGAGGTAGAGTCTTTCTTACGCTGTGTATCAGGGAGTACGTAAAGTATGTTTTGATGAGTGAGTCAGCTTCTGAGGAGATCTAACAGGGGCCTTCTTTCAGTATATCTGATAAGGAAGAGGTTAGGAATCGCTCTGAGGGCTGAAACAGTATTGATCAACCTCCAGCTTTTCTGGTTACTCTCCCTGCTAGATGAATCTTGACCTCCTGCTCCTAGATTTGTCAATATAAAGAGTTTACAGAGCAACCAGCAAAACTTTTGGGTGAATTTGACCCAATCTAACAACTTTTTTGCACTGATGTTGCAGAAGAAATACTCAACAAAGAAGAAAATTTTTCCAGCTATATGCAAGCTAAAGGAGAATAAACTGTGGTTATAGCAGCATAATTGTATATATGCTAAAGCATTTACTGAATTAACCGTTTCAGTAACAAGAATCACACCACTCACTAGAAAAGTTAAAAAACCCAGCAAAAGAACAACCACCCTTTTATAGAATAGATATTGATTTCACAAAATCACGGAACAATTGGGGTTGGAAGGGATCTCTGGAGATTGTTTAGTCCAACCCCACTTCTCAAAGGGAAGTTTCTTTCCCTTGCAAACAGGGCAGAGGGATCACAAAGCAAGAATTTGCCATTTTCTGTTTAGTTCTGCCCTGCTCAGGTATACAGCATAGTACAATCCAGGATGTTCAGCATCCGCAAAATCTGTGCCATTCCATTTTTGCTGAAGAGAAGGCATTAGGCAAGTTTTTTAAAAAAGGCTGCATATGTCTGTGTACGCATGTGCTGTTTTTCCCAGTGGCACATGAAGAACATGTGTCCTATTCAACCCTTGCCCCCTGGAGTGGGGGTCAATATTTTTAAGTGCTTCACCTTGGTGGGGACTCTTCCTTTAGCTTGTGTCACAGTTAATAACTTTTAAGATGGAAAAAAACCAGTGGCCTTTGCTTATGTTGTAGTCCCTTTGCATCTTAACATCTCCTGTATCCCTCTGAGTTTGTTGGAAGCCTTCAGATCTGCAGAGCTGTTCCTTACACCAAAGCCTCCCAGCTCTCTTTTTTCATGCCTATATTCCACTTGACCTGCAGGGGGAAAAAAAAAAAAAAAAAAGATAAGATGGTGAGCCAAGGTACAAGACTCTGTTTGAAATTTATACTCCTATTATCTTTCTAGAGTTTTCTGCTCCATCTAAGGACCCACCTGGGTCTGAAAAGAAGAACGAACTGCAGAGGTAGGCACACTGGAGGCCCTGAAAAGTCACTGAATCTCTGTAGTGGAGGGGTTTGCTAAGAGGGGAGGAAAAGGCAAATGGTGGCAGTAAAAAATGTTTTGCCTCAGGTGTGGGATTCAGGGGCAGGAACCACAGTGCAGGGCTTTCTTGTAGAGCCTGCTCGTGCCTTTGGTGATGCTGAGGGCCAGGACTGTGTCATTCTGACAATGACACAATGTCAGTAAAAGGTATCTGAGGAGAAAAACAAGGACAAGGCATTCAGAAGTGTTCTTCTATTGAAGAAGACACAAAAGGAAAATGATGACTGAAGTCTGTGCCAGTGCAAAGGGGGCAGGCACCAAAACCAGCAGTGCGCAGAGCATTGCTGACTTCTGAGAACTGGGATTCTGGCCCGGTTTCTCTAACCCTGACTCATGTGAAATTTTCCTGTGAAGCATTTGTATCTGGCAGCATATAAAAAACATCAAAAGCAAAACCAACCAACAACTCATATTTGAATGACCTGAATGTAAGAATGCTTTCCAAAGTGGTCTAATTTTCCTGTCACCTTTTAGGATTTCTGTATGATTTCTTAAAAACTGTTTGCAAAGTCACCTTGCACTTAATATCTTTGGTCCTATTATTGGAAAGGTTTGTCCAGGTTAGTTCTCCTATTAACATGGGTGTAATCATCATGATATTCTTACTGAGTTGCATCAATACTTCCTTTTATAATTAGCACATGTCCCATTACATGAAGCGTTATGGAAGTTTTTAATAAGCAGAGCACCATACTTACGCTGGTAATTCTGCTCTTAAATTTCCATTGAGCTAAGCAGAGTAGCAACAGCATCTCTGTCAATAAATGGCAGCACAGGAGAAAACAAGTTATACTTCAAAGAAAATTTTCCTATGGCCTCGAAATGCTGCCAGTTTAAAGGTTAATCCTTTGCCCTGGCCTGAGCTGTATACACAGACCCAGGGCTGGTACTTCTCACACGGCAACATTCAACAACGGAGTTGTTTCTCAGCCTAAACAACCTGAATCCTTACTTTATTTTTGCACAGCAACAGAAGAAACCCCAAACCCAAAATTACAGAGCTGTTTTCCTACCAAAGTTCTTCAATCCAATGTCCCTGACGTATTTTGCTGCTCAGTCGTAGAAAATAGAGAAATTTTATTAAGTGGGTGTTGTTTCTGCATGCGTTCCTCATCATATGGTCACGTAGGTCTCTTGCCTGTCACAAAGCCAGTTGTTATGTGTGTTTGAGTTATTTGTATGAACGTCAGACGCTTGTGCTTGCTGTACCCCTTCAGCAGGGAGACTGAAAGCTGCAGCCTCCCGAACAACGCTGTTCAACACAATGACTTTCAAACTTGTTTCATCTGATTGCTCATACATCTTTGCTGAGGAAATGGACGGTAAACACATTCAGGGCAGAAAGGTTCAGGGCTTTGGCTGTTTCATTACAGATAATTCACAGAGAAACTGCCGCCTCTAATTTATTTTTTATCTTGATAAAATGACAGCCAAAAGTCTTTGACATTCCAGGTCTCTCTCCGTTCTCACTTGACAAAGTCACTCCAACTGGGAGTAGATTTTAGCTTGCTTTTGACTACTTGCTGATGCTATACGATTGGATTAGACTAATGTGTGAGGAAAATTCATTTGTTCCTACAGTTCAGGCCATGGGCTAGAATTCAGGCGATCTGAACTCATTCCTGAACCGCACTCTGAGCTCTTTCTGCATGACCTTGAGTAAGAAACTTAACCTTCCTGGTTTTTTATTCCCTCATTTGAAAATAGAGCTTTGCTTTCTCCCTGATGCCCTCCATGCTTTTCATTTTTGTGCTTAATGCTCATAAGGCCAGACAACTCTCTCTTACCATATCGGTATACAAATGGAGCCCTGAATTTCCTAAAGACCGCTGTGGTTTTCTATAATGACAATGTTAATAAATGGCTGTACAAGGTACATTGTGTCTCAGGTACATTTAATGAGCTTGGGGACCCTGCTGGGGGGGACAGTACCATTAACATTTCCCACCTCGGCACTGTTGCTCGGTGCAATTCAGAATTCAACTCAGCTGAAGTCTCTGGAGATGATCTTATCATTAGGATTGTTTTGATTGCTGATATACCCAAATTAAAGATGCAAAGCTAGTCGTACTTAAAAGCACAGTCTGGGTTTTTTTCATGGT